AGTCAGCCGGTACTACTCCTTAGGGGGCTGCGACCAGTCAGCCGATTCCTATATCTTACCGGGAGCTTTCCTTAGCCTAATAGCCTTGTCCAAACCTAACTATTTCGCCGCCGGTAGGGGAGATTGTACCAGGGGTTCCAGTTTGTGCCAATAAACCTGTTGACTTTCCTTTTGATTTCTTGTTCTCCTTGGCTCGGCCGGGCCGGTAGTCATAACAGAACCCACCCACAAGTGTCCTTAGTGGGGCACGGAAACGTGGCGTGTTTCGGGGCCCGTTCTGCCAACGCTACCAACTGAGGCAGACCCCGCACACGTTACAGTATACAGATTTATGAAAATATGAGTCAACCAACTTCTTCGATAGTCTTCTATAAAAATGGGGTTATATTTACAAACACTCAGATTAGCGATCATTAAATTGGTTCACAGCTGCCAGGATATTTATCATATCACGTAAAAAGTGAAAGGTTCTACTCCAAAGATTCTATATGAGCAGCTGCTTTACGACCCTTTTCCTAAGAATTGTCTTAGATTCATATCAAATATTGAGCTTTCTAAAGTCATGAGTATGTCAGATGTATTGAAACTTTTAAACATCTTCTTTTAATGAATATAGAGACTAGGAGTAGTGCTTGTGCTTATTCGCCATAAGCTGGTATTAATCGCTTTCACGTTTATGTTTGAATAAAATTACTTTGATGTATTTGAAGTCAACCATGAGGCCAAGAGTAATGATGTTGGGTTAGAAGTTTACTGGGGGAAGTCTGTTCAAATCAACACCAAATCTAGTTTGATCATATGGACTCTTGATTGAGACGTTTTAACTCACTTGGTTCCCATCCTCGTAAACGGCGTGCGTGCGTCCCTCAACATTTGTTCCTCAATCGGTTTCTTCATATTTAAGATGATCGCTGTATCTGCTGACAAGACCTTCTGAAAAAAACCAGCGGACACTGAACTCTATGGCAAACCAACTTAACATTTATTCAAGGAGCAATGTCGATCCTGTATTTCAAAAAAAAAAGAAAATATGCTTAGCATATAAGATATCTTATATATTATATAAGATACCTCATATATATAAAATATCTCTATTGTATATAAGATATCGTATATGATTATATAAGATATCTTATATAATTCGATTAAATACAAGATCGCCATTGCTTTTTGAACTCCTCACTTTTGAAAACATTTAGAATATGTCATAAATGTATAACTACTACGAATTAAATGGCATTGTGCAACTGGGGAAGTAATTAGGACTGACACGGTCAATATAGAAAGGTCTGGTGTAGTGTCGCCGTATCAGGGAACACTGTACCTGTCAGACTTCTGTGATGACCAATTTGAGGAATGATCACTAAAATCCAAATAATTTGGTTAACTCCCAGTCGGATGAACAGTAAAGTATGATAATACAACAGTCACAGGGAAACACATACACATTCACAGCCATGTCCCTGTCGCCATTCACACCGCATCAAACTTATATAATAGGCAATTCTCCGTGATCGAAATCCGTATTACCTCATACTGTGGTCACCCATATGTAATCCAGACTGCATACTTCATATAATGAGATTTTCTGTAATATTGACTACAAAATGTGCCCTGTAATCTTAAACAGTCAATCACTCAGTCAAATTAATTAAACAAAAAATCGAATTGAATTATTCAAAATTTAAATATTTAAAAAAAAAAAAAAAAAAAAGAGAGGAAGTTACAGCATCCTCGTTGTCATCCTCGTTGTCATCCTAGTCAGCATGATTTGAACGCTGTCATTTGAAAAATATAAACCTGAAATATATTACACCGGTATTTAAATTTACCTGGCAATGAATGGTGTGCTGAACACGTATGCATAAAGATTACTATCAGGTAGATGACACGTCGGTAAGATTCACAGGTAGACGTGCATATCTCGTTCGGGTAGTGTAACGGAAGAGAGGATCAAGAATAAGATGTAAGAAATAGGTGTCAACACTGAACAGGTAGGATCACACAAAACGATTGGTCTTATGCATTTATTTGTAAAGATTAATTAGCGGCCTATTAGTTTATAGTGAGACGGTCTACAGGGCCATATACAGTCAAAAGTGGGTAACCAGCAGTGCATGCTTCTTCCGGGTATTGTAACTGAATAGAGCATGAATACCGACCTATTGTGTAAGAAATGGGTGTCAAATTAACAGGTAGGATCACACCTAACGATTGCTCTTGGTGATGAGGTATGCATTTATTTGTTAAGTCTAAGCGGTCCTATTAATGTATTATGTGAAGGTCTATAAGGCCACATTAAGTCACAGGTGAGTAGCCAATAGTGAGCATGACATAAGTGTAACGCAATCGACCATAGGTATCGGAAGATTGACATACACGGAAGTAAAACGTATAAATGATAAAAAGGAAAGAAGGTATAGTTTATGGTGAAGGGTATCAGTTATTGAGTTAGGTAAAGCTAACTCTACTCAAGTTGTGCTGAGATATGTATACTCTAGATAGCTATGTAGATGTAGTATAGCTATGTTTGAGATATGTCTACTCTAGATAGCTATGTAGATGTAGTATAGCTACGTTTACGCTGAGATATGTATACTGTAGATAGCTATGTAGATGTAGTATAGCTATGCTTATGTTGAGATATGTATACTCTAGATAGCTATGTAGACGTAGTATAGATATATTTATGCTGATTTATGTATACTGTAGATAGCTATGTAGATGTAGTATAACTATGTTTACGCTGAGATATGTAAATTCTAGATAGCTATGTAGATGTAGTATAGATATGTTTACGCTGAGATATGTATACTTTAGATAGCTATGTAGATGTAGTATAGCTCTGTTTACGCTGAGATATGTATACTGTAGATAGCTATGTAGATGTAGTATAACTATGTTTACGCTGAGATATGTAAATTCTAGATAGCTATGTAGATGTTGTATAGCTATGTTTATGTTGAGATATGTATACTATAGATAGCTATGTAGATGTAGTATAGCTATGCTTATGTTGAGATATGTATACTCTAGATAGCTATGAAGATGTAGTATAGCTATGTTTATGTTGAGATATGTATACTCTAGATAGCCATGTAGATGTAGTATAGCTATGTTTATGTTGAGATATGTATTCTCTAGATAGCTATGTAGATGTAGTATAGCTATGTTTATGTTGAGATATGTATACTCTAGATAGCTATGTAGACGTAGTATAGCTATATTTATGCTGATTTATGTATACTGTAGATAGCTATGTAGATGTAGTATAGTTATGTTTACGCTGAGATATGTAAATTTAAGATAGCTATGTAGATGTAGTATAGCTATGTTTATGTCGAGATATGTATACTCTCGATAGCTATGTAGATGTAGTATAGCTATGTTTGAGATATGTATATTCTAGATAGCTATGTAGATGTAGTAAAGCTATGTTTGAGATATGTATACTCTAGATTGCAATGTAGATGTAGTATAGCTATGTTTACGCTGAGATATGTAAATTTAAGATAGCTATGTAGATGTAGTATAGTTATGTTTACGCTGAGATATGTAAATTTAAGATAGCTATGTAGATGTAGTATAGATATGTTTATGCTGAGATATGTTTACTCTAGATAGCCATGTAGATGTAGTATAGCTATGTTTGAGATATGTATACTCCAGATAGCTATGTAGATGTAGTATAACTATGTTTACGCTGAGATATGTAAATTTAAGATAGCTATGTAGATGTAGTATAGCTATGTTTATTTTGAGATATGTATACTCTAAATAGCTATGTAGATTTAGTATAGCTATGTTTATGCTGATATATGTATACTCTCGATAGCTATGTAGAAGTAGTATAGCTTTGTTTATGTTGAGATATGTATACTCTTAATAGCTATGTAGATGTAGTATATCTATGTTTATGTCGAGATATGTATACTCTAGATAGCTATGTAGATGTCGTATAGCTATGTTTGAGATATGTATACTCTAGATAGCTATGTAGATGTAGTATAGCTTTGTTTATGTTGAGATATGTATACTCTAAATAGCTATGTAGATGTAGTATAGCTATGTTTATGCTGAGATATGTTTACTCTAGATAGCTATGTAGATGTAGTATAGCTATGTTTATGCTGGTATATGTAGACTCTAGATAGCTATGTAGATGTAGTATAGCTATGTTCGAGATATGTATATTCTAGATAGCTATGTACATGTAGTATAGCTATGTTTGAGATATGTATACTCTAGACAGCTATGTAGATGTAGTATAGCTATGTTTTGCTGAGCTATGTATACTCTAGATGGCAATGTAGATGTAGTATAGCTATGTTTTGCTGAGATATGTGTACTCTAGATGGCAATGTAGATGTAGTATAGCTATGTTTGAGATATGTATACTCTAGACAGCTATGTAGATGTAGTATAGCTATGTTTTGCTGAGCTATGTATACTCTAGATGGCAATGTAGATGTAGTATAGCTATGTTTTGCTGAGATATGTGTACTCTAGATGGCAATGTAGATGTAGTATAGCTATGTTTGAGATATGTATATTCTAGATAGCTATGTAGATGTAGTATAGCTATGTTTACGCTGAGATATGGATACTCTAGATGGCAATGTAGATGTAGTATAGCTATGTTTACGCTGAGATATGTATACTGTAGATAGCTATGTAGATGTAGTATAGCTATGTTTACGCTGAGATATGTATACTCTAGATAGCTATGAAGATGTAGTATAGCTATGTTTGAGATATGTATACTCTAGATAGCTATGTAGATGTAGTATAGCTATGTTTTGCTGAGATATGTATACTCTAGATGGCAATGTAGATGTAGTATAGCTATGTTTACGCTGAGATATGTATACTCTAGATGGCAATGTAGATGTAGTATAGCTATGTTATGCTGAGATATGTTTATTCTAGATAGCTATGTAGATGAAGTATAGCTATGTGTGAGATATGTACACTCTAGATAGCTATGTAGATGTAGTATAGCTATGTTTATGCTGATATATGTATACTCTAGATAGCTATGTAGATGTAGTATAGCTATGTTTACGCCAGATGTATGTATACATGTGTGTAGGTTCGTCTGTACCCTACGTGTGTAAAACTATATATTGAAAATAGCATGTGCTCTCTGACTGTTGCTGTATAAAGCTATCTCTATTATATACTTGTGATGCTAACTATAAAGTTACCAATGATTCTTAGACCGACTAGTAAGACATGTGTTCTCCCTTTGTTACAGAAACCTATTCCAGAGAAACATATTTAACCAGGATTACATAATCAAGATTGTTCGTCTAGAACATTAGGGCATGCCAAGAAGTGTGGTTCTGAAGAGAATTTCCAGTCATTTCAAAGGTTGGACCTGAACATTCAGTTTTTCATGTGGCTTTGCAACAGACAAGCATCATAGATTGAAGAACTAAAATCCAAATTGAACAGAAAAAGAACTGATCTCAGCTACTTATTTCGCATTTTATCAACGAATCCTTATCAAATTAGAACATTATCGGGCATTAAACACTTGTATCACGTGCTTGCTTTTAACTAGCAGTCATATGTAAATGAAGTTGGTTTTGATAAAGGTGCTAAAGTGAAGGTCGAAATTTAATTGATTAATTACCGGATATGACGTGCAACAAGCGATAAACAGTTAAGAAATGGCAACACCACAGGTAGCCATTGGTGCTAGGGGGCAGACGACTTGTGCGCATCATCAACGGGTCACCTTAGACTGGTTTTGTGAGAAATGTAGTGAACCGATATGTGTAGATTGCATTTCTTCTTTACACAAGGGTCATGCTATCATTAACCTGAGTCACGTGACTCCTCAATACAAATGTAAAATCGATAATTTCATCATCGAAACCGAGCAAAATGAGCTAGTTCAACTTCAACAACAAATCACATCGACCAAAGACAGTCATAAGAAGAGCCTAGATCATTTCGAAGTCATAGCAATAGAGGTCAAAGAACATGGAGCGAAACTGAAGGAAAATATTGATGCTTTATTGGCTCAAACACTCTCCCAGCTGAAACAGTTAAAGGATGAAAATTCCAAACCTTTTATTACTCTCCTCACTGACCTTGAAACAAAGCTTGGACAATTGAAAGAACAGTTGAAACAGTGCAAGTCAACCCTTCAGACAGGCACAGATATCGAGGTGTTCCACACTGTAAATGAACTCCCCAAAACCACCTCCTCTCTCCCAGATCAATTCATACAAGGTACTGTCCGTTTCAATCCAAATAAAAGCCATCAAGAACTACTGAAACAAGCATTTGGTTCATTAGCGTCGTCTACATCCCATCAGCCATCTGCCGAACCACCCGGACTGTTAAGTAAGCTGTTCTCCTTTGGATTGCAAATGTCATCCACGAAAGAACCGACGGCCTGTTCGACACAACAGAATGATATTCCACCACAGACCAAAGCTCGGGTTATAACAGAATGGAAAGCTGCGTATGCAATTCACGCTATGTGTCCAACAGGTGATGGTGGGGTCTGGACCTGCGGAGATACCACATTGACACATCTGTCCCGCCAAGGAAAAATAGAGCAGAAAAAATCTGTCGCAGCAAGGAACATGTGTGTCTCTCCCACTACAAAAAATATCTGGGCATGTTCTGCCAGTTCTAAAAGCGTCATGGAGTTGACCTCAGATCACTTCAGATTTAACACAGATGGTCCACCCTATTGCATCTGTATTACAAAAGATGGTCTCATCCTTGTAGGGACGAAGAACTCTATCACTCCATACACTACGAAAGGGAATCCTGATGTCACCACTACAACAAAGTCGTTACTGTGTTCACCACGGAGAATCTCTCTCTGTCCAGTGAGTGAGAATGTTGCTGTAGTTGACAGAGATTTGTTAGCAGACGGTGGCAGGGACAAACCACGGGTCGTTGTAATGAACAAACACCTAAAGGAACTGTTCCCGTATGGACAAGCCCAACACGCCAGCAGGACAGGGTCACGCTCGTTTGATCCCTATGATGTAACCTACGACAGTCTGGGAAACATGGTTATTGCCGACAGGGATAATAACAGCCTGCATCTCTTGGCTGGTGATGGACAATACCTTCGACTTCTACACACTGACCAACACCAGGCATGGGTTTTATGCGTGGGAAATGACGGGATCATATGGGCAACATTTGGTCGTTTTAGCGGTATGCGTACGGTCAAACTTCTTGAATACGACAACAAGTCCACGTAGATAAAAGGTGTGTGTTCCCCATTAACATTTAACAAAAGGGAACAATCACGTAGGATAGTGTGGGGTTTTCTCGTGTTGTGAATGACGTCTAAAGCCTTGTGGTGTTAAACTTCTACAACGATGTCATAATGTACATTTTTTTTTCTAAATGGAGACATCAAAATATGCTTGTAACGAATTGGGTTTCTTCTCAAATGCAGAGCCTGACAATAGAAAATAGCTTGTAATAACTTGGATATCTTCATTAACTAATCAATCTGTACATTGCTTTATATAAACAGTATGTAGTAGGATTTTATTTTGTAACATTTACATGATCTACAGCTCTTTTTTAAATAAACTCATATAGTTTGGAAATTTTTATTACAGACAGACTCGTCGTTTTTTCTTCTTCTTCTTCTTCTTCTTCTTCTTCTTCTTCTAAAGGCTTTATCGTTAGGCTTTTCTTGGTATGTATTTAAAAAAACTCAATCAGATTCACACAGTATAACATACTGTCAGTCACTTTTTTTCGCAAGAGATTAACCTCTCGCTTTTTTCGCATGGAGACTCGGTCATGATTTTAAAGGGCCTACTCGGTCAAATGACAACCCGAAGATCAAGTCGACACTGAAAATATATATATCCTCACAAAAGTTTACGTAGTTGATAATGACATTACCTGAGGCCAACGACCGGTGTGGTCAGTTTCATGTTTTGGGAAAGCCCATGATAAAAATAGCTACGACCGAAATACCGCAATATCCGGGCCTTTCAGTGATAAGGGAACATGTACAACAGTACTAGTGCCACGCTGTCGACCAACAACACAGTGTCAAACGAGTCGGAGTTCACACATAAGTTACACAATATACCGCAGGCAAGAATTATAAGTCTCATAATATATACCTCTAATCAGATACTTCTGTTCACAGTAGGATTTGAATAAAAACGAACAGGTTCAATTAAACCATGCAAGCACTGAGAGGGTGCCGCTACGATATCAATAGGTTTTAACGTAATATAGATTACTCATTTATAACAACGTTTGAGATGTTGTCGGAAGATGCTTTGATTTAGAATTTATGCAAACATGTACTTGTATTCCAAAAAGGCTATGTGAATAAAGCGAGAAGAGATTTTTGTTAGTTAGAAATCCACCGACAGCGCTGCCGCTAAAATGTACGGTTGTACAGTTAAGGATACCTTCATTACTGATTAAACACGACAAGAAAATTAAACATTGTCTCTTGTCAATTTCTCGACAGGAATTGTATCAAACTTTATTATCATGAAGAATTTTGTGACAAGATTATAAAAAACCTTACTTCACTAAATTGTCCCTTTAAATTCTCCTCTTATCTGACTTTCATGTATGATCTATCACTAATGACATAACTTCCTGCTATTCACTAATTGGTAGGTATCCACGGGGAACATAAAAAGCTAAGTCTGCGAAATAAAGTACACACGAAAATTAAGTGAACTGACAGTAAACTTTAAGAAAAGGTGTCATAGTATCAACATGGGCGTCAATGGGTACCGTGAATGTGTACCGTGTACCGTCAATGTGTACTGTCAATGTGTACTGTGTACCGTCAATGTATACCGTCAATGTGTACTGTGTACCGTCAATGTATACTGTGTACCGTCAATGTGTACCGTCAGTGTGTACCGTCAATGTATACTGTGTACCGTCAATGTATACCGTCAGTGTGTACCGTCAATGTGTACTGTGTACCGTCAATGTGTACTGTCAATGTGTACTGTGTACCGTCAATGTGTACCGTGTACCGTCAATGTATACCGTGAATGTGTACTGTGTACCATCAATGTGTACCGTGTACCGTCAATTTGTGCCGTCAGTGTGTACCGTCAATGTGTAACGTGAATGTGTACCGTCAATGTGTACCATCAATGTGTAACGTCAATGTGTACCGTCAATGTGTACTGTGTACCGTCAATGTGTACCGTGAATGTGTACTGTGTACCGTCAATGTGTAACGTGAATGTGTACCGTCAATGTGTACCGTCAATGTGTACCGTCAGTGGGTACCGTCAATGTGTACCGTGGACCGTCAATGTGGACGGTGTACCGTCAATGTGTACCGCCAATGTGTACTGTGTACAGTCAATGTGTACCGTCAATGTGTACTGTGATGTGTACCGTCGTACCGTCAATGTGTACTGTGTACAGTCAATGTGTACTGTGTACCGTCAATGTGTACTGTGTACCGTGAATGTGTCCCGTGAATGTGTACTGTGTACCGTCAGTGTGTACCGTCAATGTGTGACGTGAATGTGTACCGTCAATGTGTACCATCAATGTGTAACGTCAATGTGTACCGTCAGTGTGTACCGTTAATGTGTACTGTGTACCGTCAATGTGTACACAGTACACATTCACGGGACACATTCTCGGTACACAGTACACATTGACGGTACACATTGACGTTACACATTGATGGTACACATTGACGGTACCGTCAGTGTGTACCGTCAATGTGTACCGTCAATGTGTACCGTGTACCGTCAATGTATACCGTGAATGTGTACTGTGTACCGTCAGTGTGTACCGTGAATGTGTACTGTGTACCGTCAATGTGTACCGTCAATGTGTGACGTGAATGTGTACCGAGAATGTGTTCTGTGTCCCGTCAATGTATCCCGTGAATGTGTACTGTGTGCCGTCAGTGTGTGCGGTAAATGTGTACAATCAATACAAGCGGTATACATAAACGGTACACGGTACACTCTGACGGAACACATTGACAGTAAACTTTAAGAAAAGGTGTCAAAGTATCAACCTGAGCGTCAATGGATACCGTCAATGTATAACGTGAATGTGTACTGGGTACCGTCAATGTGTACACAGTACACATTCACGGTATACATTGACGGTATACATTGACGCTCAGGTTGATACTTTGACACCTTTTCTTAAAGTTTACTGTCAATGTGTACCGTCAGAGTGTACCGTGTGCCGTCAGTGTGTACGGTGTACCGTCAGTGTGTACCGTCAATGTGTACCGTCAATTTGTAACGTCAATGTGTACCGTCAATGTGTACAGTCAGTGTGAACCGTCAATGTTTATCATCAGTGTTTACCGTCAGTGTGTACCGTCAATGTGTACCGTGTACCTTCAATGTGTACCATCAGTGTGTAACGTCAGGGTGTACCGTCAGTGTGTACAGTCAGTTTGTAACGTCAATGTGTACCGTCAATGTGTACCGTCAGTGTGTACCGTCAATGTGTACCGTGTACCGTCAATTTGTACCGTCAATGTGTACCATCAGTGTGTACCGTCAGTGTGTACCGTCAGTGTGTACCATCAGTGTGTACCGTCAATGTGTACCATCAGTGTGTAACGTCAGGGTGTACCGTCAATGTTTACCGTCAGTGTGTACCGTCAATATGTACCGTCAATGTGTACCGTCAGTTTGTAACGTCAATGTGTACCGTCAATGTGTACCATCAATGTGTACCGTCAGTGTGTACCGTCAATGTCTACCGTCAGTGTGTACCGTCAATGTGTAACATCAATACAGACGTTATACATTGACGGTACACATTGACGGTAAACAGTACACATGGACGGTAAACAGTACACATTCATGGTACACAGTACACATTATTACCCAATAGTCTATATAAATTATAATTAGTTATTTTTGACTGTTTCTGGCCTTTTGTCCAATTTCGGCTGTAGGGGTGAAACAGTCAAAACGGTTTTCCGTCAGAGCGAACTGTTACCCGGCGCGAATTCGATGCGCAGAAAGCCCCCCTCGAGAGCCCACTTCAAGCGTTTCGGTGACCGCGACTCAGTGTTGAAGCAATGGCAACATTGCACGCAGCATTGATACTAATTTTTATTTGGTAATAAAACAATTGTTTCATGGTTATTTGGGGAACAGTCAAAACTATCATCCCTCGGTAGGGGTAATCCCTGAGGAACTGTTTGCCCTTGGCCTAGCGGCCTCGGGCAAACAGTTCCCCAGGGCTTCCCCCTACCTCGGGATGATAGTTTTGACTGTTCCCCAAATAGCCATGAACCAATTGTATATTGACGGTACACAGTACACATTGACGGTACACAGTACACATTCACGGTATACATTGACGGTACACAGTATACAATTGTTTCATGGCTATTTGGGGAACAGTCAAAACTATCATCCCGAGGTACGGGGAAGCCCTGGAGAACTGTTTGCCCGAGGCCGCTAGGCCAAGGGTAAACAGTTCCACAGGTCTTCCCCCTACCGAGGGATGATAGTTTTGACTGTTCCCCAAATAACCATGTGTACCGTCAGTGTGTACCGTCAATGTGTTAAGTACCGTCAATTTGTACCGTCAATGGGTACAGTCAGTGTGAATCGTCAATGTTTATAGTCATTGTTTACCGTCAGTGGGTACCGTCAATGTGTACCGTCAATTGGTACCGTCAATGTGTACAGTCAGTGTGAATGGTATACATTGACGGTACACAGAACACATTCACGGTACACATTCACGGTATACATTGACGGTATACATTGACGGTATACATTGACGGTATACATTGACGGTACACGGTACACATTGACGGTAAACACTGACGGTACAAATTGACGGTACACGGTACACATTGACGGTATACATTGACGGGACACATTGACGGTACATAGTACACATTCACGGGACACATTGACGGTATACATTGACGTTATGATACTTTGACACCTTTTCTTAAAGTTTACTGTCAATGTGTCCCGTCAATGTGTACCGTCAATTTGTACCGTCAATGTGTACAGTCAGTGTGAATCGTCAATGTTTATATTCATTGTTTACCGTCAGTGTGTACCGTCAATGTGTAACGTCAATGTGTACATCAGTGTGTAACTTCAATGTATACCGTCAGTGTGTACCGTCAATGTGTACCGTCAGTGTGTACCGTCAGTGTGTACCGTCAAAGTATACAGTGTACCGTCAATGTGTACCGTCAATGTGTACCGTCAGTGTGTACCGTCAGCGTGTACCGTAAATGTGTACCGTCAATGTGTACTGTGTACCGTCAATGTGTACCGTCAATTTGTTACGTCAATGTGTACCGTCAATGTGTACAGTCAGTGTGTAACATCAATGTGTACCTTCAATACAGACGGTATACATTGACGGTACCCATTGACGCTCAGGTTGATACTTTGACATCTTTTCTTAAAGTTTACTGTCAGTGTGTACCGTCAGTGTGTACCGTCAAAGTATACAGTGTACCGTCAATGTGTACCGTCAATGTGTACTGTGTACCGTCAATGTGTACCGTGTACCGTCAATGTATACTGTCAGTGTGTACTGTGTACCGTCAATGTATACCGTCAATGTGTACTGTGTACAGTCAA